ATCTGGGGAGACCAGCCTACGTGGTGCAGAATGGCCACAGCGGGGCTGAGGGAGGCAGGCAGCAGAGGACCCACTGGCTGGGAATGGTGAGTCGCTTTCAAAGCCTGGCATCGGTGGTTCCACAGCAGTAAAAGGGGGACAATTGAAGGTCCCACATGATGGCTGTGGCCAACACTGGATTTCAGAACAGAGTGGAGACAGGGGTGCCTCCCACCCTCGCCTCAGGGCTCTGTGGGGGTACTGGGTACTGAGGTCCCCCTCTCTGGGTGCCTGTCAACTGGGGTCTGTGTCTCTTGCTTTCTGATGATGTGGTGGACAGGCCAACCTGTGAGCTCCCCAGATTTGTGGAGGCCGGTGTGAGGGTTTAAGTGAGGCTCTGCTTCCAGGGAATGTCGAGGGGCCCATCTCCTAGCCCTCCTGGTCACTGCCCCCCACGCACGCACACACACACACACACACACGCACGCACGCACGCGCGCACGCGCGCGCGCGCGCGCGCGGAAGGGAAAGGAGCAAGGGAGGTTTGCTCTGTGCACTTGGACCATGGCAGGGAGGCCACACATTCGCTAAGAGCTTCTGGTGTTTCGTCTGTTTGTAAGCCAGGGGTGCATGAATACGGGAGAAGTACAAGGGGTCTGAATGTACTCTCAGCATTCGGTCATAGAGTGTGACCAATGACACTCTGTACTCAGTGAGGTGCGCTCTTTAGCGGAAAGAGCTTCGATCACGTGGTCAGAATGACACTGTTAGGGAGGTGGGGAGGAGAGCTACTGAGTCAGAGGCTTGGTTTCCACGGTGGTTCCACGTGGAGGGCTGGCGATAAGGTCCTTCCATCAGAGAAGAGGCCGATAGCTTCACCTTTTGGCACGTGCGGCCCCAGGATTTCTTTGCATAGTCGTCTCAGAGGAGGCCAGGATTTGAAGACGCAGGTCTACCCCAATCTTGATGAGACTTTGACTGAATTCTGATAACAGCGTTTATTTCCCGCTCACTGAGGGAGATCACCGCAGACCTGAAACGGACATCATTTCCCAGAAAGGGGCACCTGGGTCTCCGGCCTCGCCTCTGAGGCTGTGGGTCAGGAGTCCAAGACTCGGTGGTGCTTGTGATGTTGCGGGCCAGGCCAAGGAGTTGGGGCTGCTAACATCCTATCTGCCCCCAAGTCCAGCTGCTCTGGGCAGGGTAAAGCAGACTTGGATCCACAGGAAGGAGATGCCCTGCAGAGAATCTGAGTGCTTAA